GATGCATTATTTGAATGCTTGGCCAAAGAGATGTGTCTTTAATTACATCTCGCTTGTCATTTTGTGCCACTGATAAAAAGGGTCTGTTGTTTGGGGCAAAAGACACAGATGGACTCTTTGAATATCTGCATCATCTGTTTGTATTCTTGCATGCTCGTCTCAAATGCTGCCTTTAGGAGATGCATTTACTTCAACTGCACATGCACAGGGGTTCTCTTGTGCTCCGCTACAGTCTATCTCCATCAACCAAAGCACAGCAGCGACTCCTGACACTGAAAATCTGAACCTCCTACTTGAGACTACAAGAGCCTTTCTGTGTGACTCCTGAGATAAGTCACATTTTCCCTCATGAGTGGGATTTCCCGGTTGGTGGAACACCAAACCCCTCCTCCCACCCCAGACCCAGATGGAAACAGACCCTCGTTTTGATTCTTTCCCTGGTGCTTTAGATAGTGACTCATTTCCGTTGCATGCTACCGAATTAGCTTGTACAGAAAAACAGCTTGCTCATTCCATGTAAAGTTTTTGTCCTAACCAGCCACAACCATGACCAAGTCAAAAAGTTGGTAGGGTTCTATTCCTGATCTGTCACTTGGAGTATCTCCGCCCATAATACAATGTGATTGGTCCAAAATTCTGTACATTTAAACTCAAATATCTTCTGATTGGCTGCAGTTTTGTCACTTTGTGGTGACATTTCGCTTTCAGTGTGGACAGACGAATTACTTACGACACGTGTCGGAGGTTTGTGCCGTGTTCAGACTTATTTTTGATGGTTTCATTCCTAGGGCAGCTGCTTCCCTTGTTATAGGGTATTTGCAGATGTGAGTTGCAGAAACCGTTGACCGTTTTCAAAGTATGCAAGAAATGTGTGGCTTTTGTGCTTCTGAGCAGAAGTAATACTAATATTTTTAAAAGAACAATAAATTATGAGATTTTCATTTTGTGCTGACTTTCTCATTGTTCACGTATGCCATCAACGTGGTCTGCCACATTTTTTTTGTGCGTTTTCACACTTTTTCAACCACAAAATTAGAGAGCCACCCCTCTAAAACGAGAGCTTCCTTCGAATTTATAGCCTAAAGACAGGTATTTAGCAAGAAGTGTGAAAAAAGAAGTAGAGAGGGGAACAGAACTGGAGGGGAAGAAAAGTGAGAAAAGGGAGGGTGAACAGAGCTGGCTTGGAACACACCCACTCGCATGCATGGATCTTCTCTTTTGCTTTCTGAAACACCAGACGGGTGAAAAGAAACAGTTCAGGTGGTTTAAACAGATCGGTGGAAAGTGTACAACTGTGGTTTTGCAGCAAGAACAGAAGTACAGGAATGGCTGTATATAAAGGTTATAAAACGTACTCCACCGACAGTGTCGGCAGTGACGTGGTCTTCACAGATGAAAGTCATCATTACCAGGGGATGCTGAGGGCCATGGATGAAAGAAAAGGTACAGCGGAAATTCTCAGTTTGAATACTTAAAACTAGCTATTAGACACTGCATTTATTTTTAATATCCTGTTTTATCTTCGTACAATATTTGCTTGATAAGTTTGTCAGTATGATTAAATTAGTTTAATTTGCATTCTTATTTTGTCATTTTTGGCTAGATTATTATATTTATTGATGCGGCTTTCTTTTGACACATATTTAAGGCTTCTTTTGTTATGCAATCAGTTATGCAGTCAGGTTATCATCCTGCATCATAATTGGTCCTCTCTGGCCAGGTTAAATGTACTTGGAAAATCTTTCCAACCAATAATAAGAAGTATAAGCTGTCAAAATGAAGTTTTTGGGCTCCAAGGGGAGGGGCCATTGCAAAGGCGGATCCCAAATCTGGGTTGTGGTCCTGCTTGCACATGCATGTTGGAAAATAGTCATAAATGTCATAGTTTGAGTACAGCAGAGCTCAAACATTGTAAATGTTCTAGATTTATTTTTAACTATACTTTACACTGACATATTACTCCATACACTAAAACTCCATTCCCTCAAGCTACACGTTCTGTTTTACGAGTGTCAAAGCTGCCGTGCAGAGGAATGCATCTTCTCTCGGATCTTGTGTTTCTCCCTGTCAGACCTTGAAAACCTTTGGTTCTGTGGCATGGAACATTAACTAAGCTTTTATGGTGGCCTAAGATATACTGATAGGCGTTACCTTTTCATTACGAGGCTCTGTTGATGTTTTGCTTGGAATTTTAAGTGCCCCTTTTATCCAGCCTTTGACCTGTTCAACTGTTCAGGTGGTCACACTTGTCTTAGAGCTGTTCTGAGATCAGCTTAGTTATGGAAATCAGTACTTAGACTTTAGGAAACCAACAGATTCTCAGTAAAATTAAGCATCTTTGTCCTGTCGTTTCATGTCTACACATGCATCTTCATTTTTTTGTGTTATCAAAATGATAACAAGTGTGTTTTATGCAGTTTACGATGTAAAACTGCATTATAAGATTACTCAGTTTTTAGCCGACTAGATAAATGTTCATTGTTTCATAAAGGACTTCATACAATGAGTCACAGGAATTGGTTTTCGTGACAGCAAAAGGTTTTAGAAACAGGAAGTGATGTGGTGATGCCAATTGACGTGGCTGCCATGGCAACCGAATGACAGAACAACAACATGCATCCAGTTCCCTGCAGTTGTTTTGTTACAGATGGTTGTCCTGCATGATCTTATCTCAATGTTTTGATGAAATGGTGATGATAAACAGAACTTTGGAGGTGTTATCACAAGTTTGAGATTTTTTTATTTAAGTCATGCTTGCTGGTCATCAGAAATATCATCAGCCTTAGTGGTTCATCTTCTGATTGGGAGCTGATGTGCTTCTTCTCCAAGTGTCCTTTAACTACAGCTCCACTTGAGTTTTCTTGTATTCTCTTTCATGCTAGCTCAAGTGTGCCTTTATCATAAAGTCAAAAATGGACCTGAAAGAGGAATTTGTACTGAATTTTTTGAATCACTCTCTTATATTAGTCATGAAGCGTTTTACAAGATCATTGTGAAACCCACTAAATTCAGGTGGTGGTACTTCTGGAACATTTCACTCCTTTAGCACGCCTCTAAGCAAGTTTCCACAATAAATGTTTGATGACATTGATGATGGTAATTCGAGATGAAGGTAAATGAGGAACATTTGAAGGCTTCTAAACAAATTGAGGAGTAAATGCAGCAATAAAACAGTGCCAGTAAAAGAGTTGGTGTTTTTTTCTAGAAGCATCTTGATTGAAGATCTTTCTTTTTTTTGTCAGTAGGGAATCTCTGGTTTAGTCACTAAGACCTGCAAATATCAGAACTCAAGTAAAGAAAATAGATGCACAAACTAAGAACTGAAAAACTTTCAAATTAAGTCAGTTCAAAAGAGCCAAAATCAACCAGTCAGTTGACTTTCACCAGTGGAATGTTTTCTGAGTGCTCAGATGAGCAGATATAGACCGCTAATTTACGCTGTGGTGTCTGTAAGATATGCACAGCATGTTCATAATATGGGCCCACCATATTTTTAAATGTCTTTATTGTTTAAAGATTGGGGTTGGTATGTTTTTTTTAATGCTTTTGAAAGTCTCGTACTCATCAAGGCAGCATTTAAATGTAAAATATTATTGGAATTTAAAAGAACCGCTTTTTATATTAATATATTTTAAAATGTAATTCATTCCTGTGATGCAAAGCTGAATTTTCAGCATTATTACTTCAGTCTTCAGTGTCACATGATCCTTCAGAAATCATTCCAGTATGCTTATTTGCTTGCTCAATAAACATTTCTTATTATTATCAATGTTGAAAGCAGTTGAAAATTTCATATTTTTATTCAAACCATGATTTAAAAAAAAGAAATTGTTTTTTTTAACAATGTAAAAGCCTATTTAAAGCATCATTGTTGAATAAAAGCATAAAAGTATTTCTTTAATGAAATATGATGCACATATGATGATCACAAAGAAATATGATGCAAAACCTATGCTAATTCCTCTAAGCTTCTGCTTCTCTAAAATCATCACTATGTGGAACCACATAAATTGCACTATAAAAACCACACAGAGCACTGTTATCTAAGAAGATAACTATACTTCAGTTTAGAAGTTTCCATTAGTATGTTGTATAATGTTAACTGGTTTCTAATGTGTCTCTCAGATTTAACTAAAATTGTGTCTTTTTGTGTTTTACAGATGAACGGGATCGAGTACAGAAAAAGACCTTCACAAAATGGGTGAACAAGCATCTGGTGAAGGTAGTACCATCCATGCAGAAATTGCAGTCAGTTCAAAGTATACACCAATACACGTGCAGTTGTTCTAGGTGCTTGTAACCACACGGTCACAGAGAGTCAAATCTTTCAGTTCTGCCCTTCACCAATGGCCACTTTGTCAACCCATTATCTCAAGGACTTGTTTTGTAGATGACTGGTGCAGTAACTACAAATGACTTTGGTGACAGCTGCTTGATTGGAAACTCTTAGAACATACTAAAACTGCACAGAGAACATAGTTATTTGTCTTACATGGAAAATAACAGTGTATGATGCTTGAAGTGCACGAGTGAAAATGATGGCGATTGTGTGTAACTGCTACTGCTGTGGAGATCATGATAGCTGAATAATCGTCCTGTACACACCCAGCACACTGCACTGCTGAAAGGTGCTGTTTATTTATGTATGAGTATGTGAGGATGAGTCATCAACATCTGGTCTCACTTTATATCCCCAAAGAAATGGATTGTTTTCTTGGTGCTGCTTGGATTCCATCCAGCAGTCTGGCCCACAGGCGGCCCCTTTCACGAACAGTATTTCAAAATGTGTTCCAAAATTCCACCCCAAAATCTACAATATAAAGATGCAAAAGAATCTGAAAATGGAAAAAAAAAATAAAACTGCTAGAACAAAGCGAACAAGCAACAAAAGTGATGCAGCAGTTTACTCTACTGTGTAAACTGGGTATTTCACATGAAAGATCTTTGGAAAATACTGAGATGTGATTTGCTGAACTCTATCTAAAACAATTTCAAACAGTATTTGATTTATTACTGTAAATAATTGTATAAATATTATAAATTATTATTATATATTCATATTTATGACCTCATATTCATGTAAAGACTATGGAATATTTGTATTTTAAAATTGTTAATTACTTTTGTTCACACTGCACAAACATTTATATATAAACTATGTATAAAATAAATGTGTTTTTATCTTATCGAACTGAAAGCAAAAGGAAAAATATTTTAAAAATGATATATAAAAATGAATTTCCAGTTTAACTAACTAGTATCTAGAGGATCTTTAAAATTACGCTTCTTACCTTTTTAGGCTGTTTAAAATTTTTTAAATAATTATTATTATTAAATTAAATTGAGAATAATTTAATTATTTCATTAAATTAAAATAATTTTTGTAATAAGTTGAAGCACTGAATTTGTGTTAGTTTTTGGATTGTGTTAGATGTTATACTGATTTTGCTTCCTCCATGGAGGCATAGGGTTTATTCAGCGGTCTGCAGTTCAGATCCAGTGACTCAGAGTTGCCAAAATGATGGTTTCAGCAGATGTGTTAGTGATGTTTCATTGCTATTTTAGACTTAATAATAGCTTTGAATTAAATACAAAAGACAATTTAATAATGATGTTATGCCACATATGTGCTGCGCTCTTTCAAATATAATTTGCTGCTTCATGTTTGAATATTAAAACTAAACAAATATATTTCTGACAGGTTGTCATCAGCAGACTTGTTTGTACATGTAAAGGTCTATTCAGAGATTTGATGCAATGAATGAAATATGTAAATTATATATATATCACGCCATCATGCAAACACTGTATGTGTCATCTGTGTTCATTTCACTGTTATATCTGGCTGCGTGTCTCTCGCTGTCTTTCTGTCATACAGTTCTCATTGTATTTCCCATCTGTTCCAACCTTTCTCTTTTTTATCTCTCCATGTTCCATCCTTTCCTCCATCTTTCTCTGTCAGCACTGGAAGGCAGAGGTAGGTGGTGTCTGTGATCACACCTTTGCAGAGTGACTTCTGTTATTACCTGCATGGGTTTCACGTGCACCGTAGCTTCCTACATCTGCACCTAGAGCTAACATACAAGCTCTCCTGCCTTCCTTGCATGAAATGCAGTTTTTTTTAACACTGGAGATGTTAACACTTGTGTTTTCGGTCTCCTTTAGTACTTTCTGTGCTTACTGCTTCAGCCTCCAGATAATTTCCTTTATCAACAGTAAATATAGTATCATACAGTGAAAAAAAAGTCTTTACTTAGGTAAATTAAATGTGGACAAAAAATTATTTTAAAATACACTACCATTCAAAAGTGTAATGTTTTTAAAACAAGTTTGCAATTAAAGGCTGCATTTAATTGATCAAAGATATAGTAAAAAAAAAAAGTAATATTGTGAAATATTATTACAGTTAAAAATAACTGTTTTCTATGTTCATATATTTTAAAATGTGATTTATTCCTGTGATGGCAAATCTGATTTGGCAGCCATTACATCAGTCTTCAGTGAAACATTTCTTCTTATTATTAATGTTAAAAACAGTTGTGCTGCTTAATGTTTTCATGGAAACCGTGATGGATTTTTTCAGGATTTTTGGATGAATATAAAGTTCAAAAGAACAGCTTTTATTTGAAATGGAAATACTTTGTAGTACCATTATAAATGTCTTTACTGTCATTTTTGATCAGTTTAATTGCTGAATAAAATAATTTATTTTTCAAACCCCAAACTTATGAATAATAGTGTATTATTTATTCACCTTAATGTATAGTCAAATTAATTCAAAGTGTGTCATGTATTGCAAAAGACATAAAACTAGTGGTACACTTTTGCGATCATTATGTAAAAATATTTGCCCTCTTGATGTCACAATCAACCCGTTATAATCAATTCATGTGGAGAACTGTAGTATTAAATAGCATAATATTGTCTTGAACATGTAGTCTTCCACTTTCCAGTTTTCATAATTTGTAATGATGATTTCCTGTTTTATTCAGGCCCAGCGACACATCACAGACCTGTACGAGGATCTCAGAGATGGACACAACCTCATCTCGCTGCTGGAGGTGCTGTCTGGAGAGACACTGGTAAGTTCATGCTAATATGGGATCCGATTTTCCACCCACAACCCTGTTCTAAACCTACTTCCAAACATCAATAAGAAATTCTGCTTTTGCAAGGCTAAGTCTCACTACCTGAATCTGCTCCCTTAACTTAATCCCCTCCTCTTCCTGTGTCTTCTTTTGCTTTATAGACCTTGTAGTTTACGTTTGAGTAAAGTTCCCCTTGCAATCTGCATGTGATTGGATAGTTCTACAGTTTAACACCCTCGAAGTCGTGTCCCTCAGATTTGTTTTGCATGCGTCAGTGGTTGACATGTGGCATTCAGATCTGTATGAGCAGTGGACGTAACCACACATACAGAAATGTGTCGGTAAGGAACGAATGTCACATCTCCCCGTCCTTATGAGCACTTCTACTGTGACTGTCTCTTTTGCATTGCGTCTCACTCCTTTAACACATTAACAATCTGACATTTTCTGCCTCAGTTTCAACTCTGCACCGGTTTGACCCCCCTTGACCATTCCTTTTTCAACTTCCTGTTTGCTCACCTCTGCCCTGACCTTGAAACCTTTGCCTTTGCCTCTTCTCTTGCGATGCTCTTGCTGTGGTAGCCGAGGGAGCGAGACGTTGTCAGGAATTCGCGGTTGGTGAGTTGGGTCTGAAAATTTCCGGCTCGCCTCACCGGAAAGGGTGTGTGGCATGTGTCACTGCCAGGGGAAATGTGTTGTGCATGATGTCACATCCTTTGTCATGTCGCTTGTACACGGTGCCATCCTCCCCCCATGTTCACGAAAATATTCGCTTAAAAATTGAAATAGATTATGCTGATATTTGTATAAAAAAATCAGGGTGGTTATTTAAATGTTTGCGTTTTTATTTTTATTTTTTGTGATGGAATGCACTGCATTCACTGTCAGGGAACCATTAACTACAGGCTTTCAGGAATTTGGCGTAATGTATGTTAGTTTAGAATTAAACATTTGTTTTAGTTTTGGATTGATTCATGTCTTCTCATGTTTGCAGACATGGGATCCATTGAGAACCTAAGTGACATCATGCACTGCAAGCCAATAAGAGCCTGGCTCATGGGACAGCTTAGCTTTTGATTGGCTATTTATTGTGATGACTGATTGACAATGTCATTGCATGTTCTTATTGTATGCTGGTGCATTTTGTCCACATCTTGGCATAGTAATGTATTTGGTGTATGTTCAGGTAATAGATTATAGCTAATGAAGCTGGAAGATCTCTGGTCCTTGGGTTTCAAATGAATAAGGTTATAATATTTAAGGTATAGTTTCTGCGTTTTTTAAATATAATGCATTGTTTCTTCCATGAAATGTGAAAAATATTACAAAGAAAAAGTGAATTTGCTTAGTTAAGGTTTACTTTAGGTATTTTTTTTGTAGGATGATATTGGTAATATAATTTTTTTCCCGAATTGAAATAGTATTTGTTTTACATTTCAAAAACGCTAAAGTGTTTTCCAATTTTACTGTACAGTAAAATGTTTGACTGTTCGGTTTCACCTTTTAGTCTCATTTAATATGTGTTTTTTTTTTCAAAACGGACAATACATAATATTTCTGCATTGTGACATTCCTACTTTAGTCGTTGTTT